GTACTGCTGTGTGAGGAACAAATTGCAGAGCTATTTTTCAAGTTGTCTTCAGATCCTGGAGACGTACTGAAAGATAAGGGAGACTCATGAAACCACGGGGAAAAGAGATGCAGTAAGTATGCTTCAGTCCTTCTCTGCACTGCGAGCAGAAGTCCCTGCTCGACCGTGCCCGCGTCTTGATACGGTCAGTTCTCTTCTGCTATCGAAAACCTGCCCTTGGGTTTGTTCTCAGAGCAAGCAGAATTACACTGAACAAGGATGGTGCAAAAAGCAGTGGTTGAAGCCAGCCATTTTAACATCAAAAACTGAAATTTCCCTCCGCCTTTTATTGGCTTGCCTAATACCAGTTGTATTTTAGTGATAGTCCTGGTATGAAATCTGAGTAGTTCAGGTGCAGCTCTCACTTGTAGCTATAGAGCTGGAAAGAGATGGCCCATGCTTAAGGATAAAGCAGGATTAGAGAGGCACAGAACTATTCAATATTGTATTGCTAGATCTCAGTCTAAATTGCAGTTATTTCTGTAACTCTGTGGTATGCAGTTAATATGGGAAACTTTTTGTTTTCTGGCAGCAGCCCAGACAAACTGATAACAGAATCATAGAATCCCACAGTGGTTTAGGTTGGAAGGGACCTTACAGACCATCTAGTTCCAAACCCCCTGCCATGGGCAGGGACACCTTCCACTAGACCAGGTTGCTCAAAGCCTCATCCAGCCTGGCCTTGAACACTTCCAGAGATGGGGCATCCACAGTTTCTCTGGGCAACCTGTCCCAGTGCCTCACCACCCTCTCCAAGAAGAGGTTCTTCCTGATATCTAATCTAAATCTCCCCGCTTTCAATTTAAACCTATTACCCCTTGTCCTGTCACTACAGGCCCTTGTAAAAAGTCCCCCCGCAACATCCTTGTCGGCCCCTTCAGGTACTGGAAGGTGCTATAAGGTCTCCCCAGAGCCTTCTCTTCTCCAGGCTGAACAAGCCCAACTCTCTCAGCCTGTCCCCATAGCAGTGGTGCTCCAGCTCTCTGAGCATCTTTGTGGCCCATATATGATATGTATAATAAATACTAGAATTTAGTATAATTATAGCCCAGTAAAATATAACAAATGCAAAATATTGTGAGGGTTTCTTTTTAAACTCTTCATGTATTTTCTTCTTCCCCCTTCTCAGTAATGTGTTCACAGATAAAATAGTTGAGACATCATCTGTGGGGTAATAGGTGGACTTGCATGTGTTCAGCTGGCTCTTGTGTTTCTACTACAATATTTCCACCGATAACTTTATTTTCAGTCATAGAGGGACACACTGTCAAGGAGAATCTGTTGCTTTGAGTAATTCAAAGTAATTCAAAGCAATCACTGTGTAATGTCAGTCGTGTTATTCATGATTCTTGTGGGAGTGTGAACAAGTTGAGGGTTCTTTTGTACAAAGATTACATTCTTGAAGATATTGTTTTAGGATATATGCAATTAAAACCACAACTAAGTTATATCTGGAAGGAGGATGCCTCAATTTTTATTTTTAGGTATGTCGGAAATATTTTCTATTTGGTTTGGCTGGGTAATTAAGTCCATATAGTGAAGTAAAAGGAATGAGAGAAGGAAGGGAACCTGTTTGGATGCCACAGGCAATGGATTTTGTAAGGAATCTCCCAGCATCCCCATTTAAACTTTGTATTTAAAAACAAACAAAAAACCCCAAACAGCCCAAAACCCCCAAAACCAAACCAAAGCAAAACATACCGTATAGATAGAAACAGTAAAACTGCCATTGTAAAACAGTGAATAACACCCAATTTGTACCAGGTGGAAAGCAAACCAGGCCATCTGCTTCGTATCAGCGTGGGGGATATTGCATTCTGGAAGTCAAAGCATCATCCAGGCAAAGGTGTGAAGACGAGTTAATTGGAGAAACAGTATAAGAAAGAATATCAGAGGCTTGTCTTAGAAGAGGAACATTATCCATGTAGTCTTAACCTACTCTTAAAATTAAAAAGCATGCATTTCAGCCTTTTCCTTTGGTGGGCCAGTCCTGCTACTTTCATCAAGTCTGCATGTGCGGAGTGGTTGAGAAGGGCCTGCTTTGTGCAGGGGTCAGTGCGGAACCATGCATTGCTTTAGTCCTGCTTGCACTCTCAACAAGGACCTTCAGTGGGACATAGGTGCACTGGCTTTGGGCTGACTCAGGGGCAAATCCCTTTCCAACAGCGGCAAATCCCTTTCCCAGCAAGTGACATTAGATTGTCAACAAGATACAGCGTTCAACAAAACCTGTGGCCTATTTTCTTATTTCTCTTGCACACAAACAGAATCAGACTGCAGAGTCCATTTGGTCTGAGATCAGCTTCAATCACTCAGGTTAACAAGTAACATTTAGCTGTAATTTTTCTTTGGGTATTTCTCTAAAGGATTAACCATGTGGATTTTTCTGTAGGAAGAGCAGATGTCTGTTGAGCGCAGGTGCTGTTCTGACACTCTGGGAACTGCCGGTGACCTGCATTTACAGTAAACACAGAAAAGAGGTCTGGCAGCAGGGAATAGTGCATTTGCATGACAGAACTGAAATCCTGCCTTTTGAACGTGGCTAGACTTCTGGCAAGGTCATGAGGAGCTGTGAAACATTCTGGCACCTGAGACCCCCCAAGAGGCACGCTTCCATTTTCTTACAGGAATACTGCCAGAGAACAGGGTTTTAAACCTAATGATGACACAAATCAAATGTCATTTTCCTACTTCAGGTGTTTGCTTAGAGGCCAGCATTCCTCTTTGTTTTAAGAAAACTTTAAGTCCTGGCATACCTCAGTACTACAGCAAATGAATTATTTTAATTTAAGCATTCATTTCTGAAAACATACCTACTTGGAGACCTTTCTGACAGCAAAGTTTACAGTGCAAGTGACGTTGAAAAGCCCGTACTGTTCAATTTTTCCAAAGATTTTTTTAAAAGGCAGAAAGGATCTCTTGATTATTTGATCTGAAATGAGTTGTACATACCTGGGGTGTTCCCCAGTAATTCTTGCCTCACGTGTGCACCTTTCATCTGAGCTATGGCACATATTTCAGAAAGACATTTAGTTGTGACTGGAAAAGATCTTAACCCCTCATGAAATGCATTAGCTAATTCTTAGGTAATGCTACAAAACCTTCAGCTTTAAACACCAGCTATTGCTAGGCAATGTTTGTGATGGAGATGAAAGTAGATGGATAGTTGCTCTGGCTTTTAGCCATTTTGGTGCTGATCTTGCCCTAGCATAAATCAGAGCCCAGGATTGCTCGTGCTCATATCTGCCTGGAACGGCCTGCTTGTACGTTCACCATGCTTTGAAGATTACCACTGTTATTTGAAGCTGCAGAGTAGGTCAGCAAAGATGCAGAGGCTGACTTGAAAATGCACGCTGACATCATTGCTGCTGGTTTCTGACTCAGCAGAGACATAGATGTGTTTCTCGGAGCGGAGGATGTTGTTTCAGTTACTTACGCTTCTGAGGCAGTTTGGCATGAAACACTGAACAGGGCAGAAACTTTCACTTTGAGCAAAAGAACAGTTTTAACAGAGCCTACATGCCTGTACCTTTTCACATCCATCCCCTCCCACAGCTCTACCCCAGACAAAATGTTCAACTCCCTGAACTATCAGTGGCAAAACACGGGAATTCAGTTAACTGTGAAGACGTGTTTTCAGAAAAAATTATAGCTATGGAGCTCTTGAACAAAAATGTGGGAGAAGTCAAAGACCTTTCAGTTACCACAGAAGAAGATCCTAATACCAGAGGGAATCTTAAAGGAAAGGGAAAGATGAGGACATCATGCTCTTATAGTGCCAAAAGTCCTTGTCTTGGGTCCACCTCTTCTACTTGGCAAGCTGCAGGCAAACTGGAGGGTGCAGCACAGACCTGGCACAGTCAAGAGGGATTTTCAGCTCCCCAGTTAGAGCAGTGTGTAGGGTCCATCAGGTAAGCCAATATCTGTGCAAGCATCTGGTAACAGCTGCACAGGGGGCAATCAGGGCATCACCTTTCTATTTGTTTATGTGAGGCAGGTGCTCATGGTGATGACCAGAACATTCCTGCAATGGGCAGAAACACGCAAACCATTGAAGATTTTTTTGAAAACGCTCGTGTTCAATTTGCGAAACTTGCACTTCTTGAAAAAAACACCCCTTTGGGCGAAGAAAACGGTTTTCTTCCTATGCTCGCACGTATGCATTCTTGATCTGACATGACTTGCAACCACAAGAG